AAACCTTGTAATTGCAACTTGAAAGTACTATTACTATACTATAGACTCACAGGTCATTATTTAACTTTATTTATTCTCAAATAATTTTTTATATTTTAATTTTATTGTAAAAAAATTATAAATAATATTAAAAAAAATTTTAATATTTTTAGAAACTATAAGTTAAAAAAATTCTAATAATATAAAATTAATATTATTTTATATTATTAATTTTTTTTTATTTTTTTTATTTATTGAATATATTTAAATTTGATTATTAGCTTGTAAATAATAAAAAGATATATATAGTAATAATAAAAAAATAAATATATGTGTAAAATCAATATATTTATTGCTTTAATGTTGTAAATATAATAATATTATATTCTATTTTTTTACTATTTATTATCTAAACTATAATTCTTTTGATATTTTTATAAATAATTATATGAATTTTCTATTTAAACAAATGTAAATTCTAATTATTAATTCTTTCAAGTTATTTTAAAATTCTAAGACTATATAAATACAATAATTATATATATCATGATATCTTAATATTATACTTTTTCCTGATTATCTAAGATGCAGCAACCTCAAAAACAGGGAAATGGCTTTCAATACTAGAAACTTCAAAGTTTTGCAACTTGAATAACAAAGGATAAAAGAAACCAATAGGTGGAAAAAAGAGAAAAAGAAACAGCTTCCCTTCATAATCAACTATATGCCAAGAAGCCCATCAGTACACAGATAAAAAATCCAACCCCATTGATAACAGAATTCAACCATGACAGTACAAAAGTCAATTCTAATGAGCATAAGACAACAATGACTCCTGTTGCAACCAATATGGATATAAAAACTGAACCATCCAGAGAAGTTCAAATGTGAAGTAAACTGATAGAAAAAGCTGAGAATGGAGCAAGAAACCTTTCAACCAACAGCATGCCTTCAGAAAAGAGAAACTCAGACAAAGTGAACCTGCAAGAAGTAACAAGCACTCCCTTAGGAGCCCGAGAGGCAGAACAACAGTGCAAGACAGCTATTAGAGAAATGGAAAAAGAATACTGGTCAACAGTAAGCTAAAAGAGCAATTCAGTGCATTCCAGCATCAAATCAATATCAAGAACACCAGTCAACTCAGAGACTAGATATGGAAGAGAATATTTGAAAGTGGGTATCAATGCCAACATCACGCTTAGCTCAAATAACAATATGAAAATTCTTTACTTAATCAAGACTCTCAACTCTCCCCTGTATTATATACTATATATTTTTTTAATATGCTATATATAGTATTCTGAATATTATACACTTATAGTTGCGGTAGTGGAAATAACATAAATATGTTATTTCCACTTAGTATAGGTTATTCCCACTCAGGTATGTGTCGTGATCCGAATTTGATGACACAGACTAAGGTGTTGTGATCCAAATTTTATGACACAGACTAATGTGTCATGATCCAAATTTTATGACACAGACTAAGGTGTCGTGATCCAAATTTTATGACACAGACTAAGGTGCTGAGTTAGGTTATGATGATATATATTTTATGACATATAGATAGGTAGACAGCTCATATATCCTTTAGAAAGTCAAATTCGATATCAATAATGTTTTAATCACCTATATAAATTTTCGTATATCAGCTTAATGTTTCTGATCGATTTCATTTGGAAAGAAAATAACTGACTTAGGTTATGACGCCCCCTAGCCTAATCCTTCTGCATTTTCTATTATAACAAAAATTCGACAATGCTATATTGCATACCGGTTTGGTGTTTGTGGGTGATTTCTGCTATAATAAAATAGCCGAATTAGGTTATGACACCCCGTATTGTTATCGCGAGTTTGATGAATCGAATATATTTTATACGTCATTTGATATCGTATGTTGGCTTATTGTTCCTAACCGATTTCCATTGCAATAAAATAACTGAGGTAGGTTATGTTGACTTGTTTGAGTTTGACGGGTCGATTGCGATATGTGTATTCTCATCACTGGACCACATCAGCAAAAAAAATACCAACGATGCATTCAGTTATGTATCGTCATTTGCTGGTCCAATGTTACCTACCTATTGCTATCGGGTATACTATATGCCTACTATTGGGTATGCTATCAAACATGTATGTGTAATTGCTAGAGGCAAAGCCTCCTCATTTTGTGAGTTGATATATGCTATCGGGTATACATTGCACAAATGCTATCGGGTTATGCTATCAATTAATGCTACCAAATATGTATGCTCAGTATATCACGATAATGCTATCATGTATATGCTATCGGGCTATGCTATCAAAGAATGCCATCGAGTACATCACGTAAATATGATATCGAAAATATAATCGCCTATGTTCACTATCCTAGAATGCGGTTAAAATGAATCTGCTCGCGTCCTAATAAAAAATCCATCCTGGTTTCGTCCTAGTAAAAAAAAAGTTAACTGGAACAGATTCGATATAGAGAAAGACTTTAAAAATATTTTTATCTTGTTTCTTTATACTTATTATATATTCGTCCTAGTTGTCCTAAAAAAAAGTAATGTTCTAGGAAAAAATAAAACTTATCTTCCCATGATACATTTATACTATACATATGATATCTATACGTTATATACATTTATACTATACATATGACATCTATACGTTATATACATATAATATATACTATGTACTGTATATCTATGAATAGAAAAAAGAAAATATAACAAATCTCGAAATTTACTAGGACAACTAGGACAACTGGGACGGGTAGTCTAAAAATCTTTTATTCGGCTTGAATTACCGGCAGGTGTATTTTTTTCCGTCCTAGCCCACGTCCTAGAAAAAAATCCGTCCTATTTGGAACTTCGAAAAATATAGGGTGTCCAACATACCACACATATGTATATTAATTTTCTTTTACTACAGGTCCAAGATAGAGATTTAGATTCGCTCCTTTGGGTCTGGGTCGAGTTACGTTCGGACATGGGATCGAGAGTAATACCGTTATCAGACTGATCTTTGATAGGTGGTGAAATATTTTTTGCGGGGGGGGTACTTCCTGTTCATTAGTGATAACCTGGGTTTGCTTCTGTTCCAATTTCGCAAATCGATTTCACTTTCTTTTGCCGACTGTTCAAGTTCCACGATTCTAGCATTGAGCCCTCCATCTCTCAACTTTGCATTCTCGGCATTTTCTTTTGCGGTCTGTTCTATTTTCACAAATCTGATCTCAATCTCTTCTTTATCTTGTTTTAATTTTATATTCTCGGCCTTGATATCGGCATTCTCCTTCCTAAGTTCAGCAATCTGGTGAACGAGATCAGAATTTAATTCTTTCAATGAATCGATTGTGGATTGTAGATTTCCCATTGTTCAATAGTTTAATAAAATTGCGTGTGCGTTCTTTTTCGGAACGCCGATCACTTTCGCCAAGAAAATTTCAGCGAACATGTTCGTCGAAAAATGCCAGAAAAATAAATTCAGAAAAAATCCCAATGCAGAGTAAACACGATTATACTGTATGTGAAATCGAACCACTAAGGACACTTTATTGATGCATAGTAAATTCGGAAAAAATACGCTTTAGTCGAGAGGCTAGTTTACAGCTATTAATACAATAAAAAATGCATGTGAAGCGGAAACTATCTACCCGCTATTTACTGATAATTTTCTTTGATTCGAGCCCTCTTACCGGCAGGAGTGTTACCGACTGTTATCCTATCTTTTAATAAACCAACAATAACATCTAACACCCGTTTTTAGCCCTTTTCGAATAGAGTCGACATCTTCTTTAAGGGATGTTTTGGATAGATTTATCTGATATTCACTTTTGCTGGTACAATATAGACCATCGGTAGCAAAAACGATAAAATGTCATTCCGTTGCTGGAAAAAATAAATAACGACTTCCTATTAGTGAGCTTAATCAGTTATGAAACGCTTGCAAATGTAAATACTTATCCTATATTAAAGGACAGATCTATATCTTACCTGTAGAAACTATTCCATATAATCATCATCTCGAAATGCTTGATCCGCCGTGCGTTTTTTCTTATTTGTGTGGTACGCACTTTCTAGTTACATTATATTCTGGAGGTAACCGATTTCGACGTTACGAGTCTTTCCTTCAGCAATACACATAAAGATCTTCGTATCCTTTTATTACAAAATCGACACGACCAGATGCCTCCTCACCGGAAACAGCTTTTTGATATGCGATATAGATTTTTTCTTCTTTGGTAAGTCGTCGAACGATGGCTATAGATGCGTTTAATATCGACGTGATAAATACACAACGCGTAGCCTCATTGGTACTATCTTGCATTGTTTCCAGATTCGAAAGTCTTAATGTAATTTCATACACTGCTCGAGCGCTTTATCATCGTCATCTGTGATTCACTAAATAGTCTGTTATTCATGCAGATAATTGAACTGTTATCATGAATCATTATCAACTGGCTTTGATAAGGTAGAAAGCAACTACGCTTCTCCCCATATTGTTGCAGTTCTAGAAATTAAAAAATCCCAAGGAATATCATATTGCAAACCATAGCTTGCTTATATAAGAGTAACGATAAATTTACGTTTGCGTCGTCATCCGAGTGACGATGAGTTCATTCCCTGACGTGAGGGCATGATTTTTGTTCTGATTCAACAAAATTTACAAGAATGGTTACAGTTCCACCCTTCAAGCCGTAGCTAAGAAACTTTTCTTCTGTTTTCTTGAGAAATGCACCTGATAATTCTCATTGCGAAATATTTTGAAATCCGCTTCAATGAGAACTAAGTCCCACCTCCGCAGATGGCCAATAGGTTCTTCCGTCTTATATTTATTAATCACGTGGCTATTGTTCGAATTGATCTTTCTTTGGATACTAGTGAGGAATAGTATATAAATTATGCACAATTGCAACGATCTGACGATTGAGCCACAATCATGTGACTTTTTAACGATAAGTGTGATTTCGATTTTTTATAAAAATTAATATGAAAACAAGGATATTACAAATTTCACAATCATTAAACCTCCATTTAATCCCTATTTTGCAATAACCAAGCAATAAGCCCTTTTTCCCTTTCTACGTAACCATTGATAACGGCAACTACTACTTGTTCTACGGGGAGATCTTTCTTCAAACTCTTTAGCAATTTCAGGCCAAGACAAAGAGCTCGGCAAATGCTCAAGAACGGCTTCCAATAATAAAATTTTTTCTTCGATAGTCCATTTTAAAGTAGAATTATTCGAAGTTTCTATAATTATAAGTCCTTAGTCCTATTCAATACTTTTTCCACTAAAGTTGCACCTTTTAAAATTACTAAGACGAAAGTTACCTGGTTTCTTCATCATCAATATTCTAAGCAGAGATTCGATTTGTCTGGTATATTCGATTGCGTTTTCAATAACATCGGTCTCTAAATATATAATACAAATAAAAGTACGATATTGTGCTCATATATCCACACCATGTTTTGATGAGCGAAACATTGCTTTCCCTTCTTCTCTAAACTTATTAACCAAATTTGTGATAGCAACTGCAGGCCCGTATGGAAATTCAAATGGTCCCGATTTACGAGTAAGTATTTCTTCTGTTAAGAGTAAGAATGCAAAACCATTCGTCTCTTGCTCTTGGATTTTCGTGATATATTTTTCATCGAGACCTACTTCATCTTTCTTGGATCTTAAGAAACTAGTAACTTGTTCCGAACTCCAATCTTTAAAGTTTGTAGAGGTGTTTGCAGAAATATCTTCTCCTTCGATTGCCTCTGAATTTCAATAGGTTTACACATGACAAATGTCGAAATGTAATATTCGAACTTAATAAGCGTTTACCGTACAGACATCTTCCTTCTTCCACCCAAAATGTCGCCCAAATATATCAGTTCTGTTATATGAGACGCAGGTAAACTAGAATTCATACGAACGAGAGAAGAAAATACAATATAAGCACGAGACTCGTGTTGAAGAAGATCTTGGAAAGATGGTTT